ATCACTAATTGAATTTATATCAAAGGAAGTATGTATCCGTTTATATTTAGATAAAATAGTATATTAGATTAGAATTAAAATATATTATAGACCTGCCCTCGATACTCCAATCCCGCATTCCATCTAAGGAAGAAGGGACTGATTGAAAACTGCGACTCTCCTGAACGGGTGCAGCCCCGGCTGAGATACCTCGTTTTGCTCCTGTACTGTTAAGGTTTAGTAAGTATCTTAAGTATGATTGTTTTTAAGGTTTTTGTAATGGAAAAAGTAAAAAAATACGTGAAAATAATGAATAATGGTGAACATAAGTAACAAATCATTTCTCTTGTCATAATTGCTCTTCCTAACAAAAACTCTATGGGTACAATTTGAGCCTTACGTTGAGCCTTGTTATGAGAATGTGTAATATACCTACCTATAAGTGTAAGATCTTCAAATTTTATTAAAATAATGACGTCTATTTTGCATTTTTTTTATAACGTCAAGTGACGGGATGAACAAGTCGTGCGCCTGATGGTAAGTTACACGCCTGTCCATAACTGTTACAGTGCCATTCAGAGCTTTAAATTGCAAAGATCTGAGGGGCACTACCACTGCGCCCGTCACCCTGAGACATAAGTTGACAAGTATCATGTGCCAGTAATTTCACCAGCACCCTTATCCTTCAAAACCAGAACACAGTAATGCTGACATTACTACGGTCGAAATAGGTTAGGTGACAGTACTTCACTGGACGAACTCTTTGACAAGGACCTCTGCTGCTATTTTGTATCTGTTGTTCATAATTCATAGTCAGGGTGACAATTTCCTTGAGAATAATAGAATATAGAAATAGAAATCATTTAATAATTTAAAAAACAACACAGTTCACATGCATTTACATTATGCACAAAGCGTGTGTGCTGTACGTGCTGCTAAGGTAATTGGTACAGTCAAACGTTGGCCACGGCTTCGTAGAACGCATCGTGATCACAATTTCGCTGAACACGTGGTAGCCGCATTAGAAAACAGCGCCGCGTTTTGCAAAGCGGCTAGCCACAATGCTACGCTAGCCACAAAATACAGCGCATTATATACAATAAGGCTGCGACATTATGTATAGAAAATAATATACCGGATACACTTGTGAGCTATTGGCTACTGAGACAAAATATTATGTAGGTTATGAGATTATTACAACGTCGCTGCTTTTGCTGTCATCGTCTGTGTTGGGTAAAGCGGTGGTAGTAAACTCCACTACCTGGAACTACTAGAACAGTTTGAAAATATTGAGCTAGTAAAGCCGAATACCGCCTTGTTATAATGGTACTCTTGACTGCATCACATTTTGGACACTGCCATGACCATGAGACCTATAGAAGGTCCGAAACGTATATTTGTTAAAAAAAACAATGCAATAAAATGCAAATGCGCTTGTTTGCGACAGGCTCGCGAGCTGTACGAGTGCATTACGTCGCACGATATGTTCGCGTGTCCTAGGTGCGCCGCTCGCGCGCCACATATTTAATTGCACGAACAGCGCGTTCGCGGCACATCTGCCAGATCTGTACGCACCTTTAAATCCATAAAAGGGATGCACGAAAGAAGCTTCCCCGCACGTATTATTCTTTTCCGGTACGTCTGTCAAACCCTGGGCAACAATCGACGAGTGACCCTACGCTGCCGATTGGCAAACTTTTCACAGCGATGCCATCAAAACGGGAAGAAAAAGAAGATCCGGAACAATAATTTTAATCCCAATGTGTAATAATCGCGAAAAAACTAAAAAAACCTATTTATATTCCATTTCGTTTAACAGTTATCTAAAAGAAACTTTAAACTGCCATGCAAATTTGGATCAGCCATCATATCGCGGCTTCGTTAGTACAAACAGGATTTTGGACAAAAACTTGAATTTTCAAACTCGCAAATTATGTGTAATTTAAAGCTTAATACGCACTTTTTAACCATATCCAAAGACAAGCTGGGCAGGTGGTCAGCGATTACGACCGTCATTAGGCCGAAAAATATTATCATTGCTTTTTATTTCAGGTTACGATGCATCAAAGTGCATTTTTGGAGACATTAAGCAAATATTTTTGAAATTAGTCTAAATTACGTGTTTAAGAATTCTTTTTATGATATCAGGTAACGGGATAAATAAGTTGTGCGCCTGGTAGGAAGCGACACGTCAATCTATAACGTTGCCGTGACACTCAGAGCTTACAGAATCGATATTACCTCGTCTACCATATATATATACATATATAGTATTCTATTTAGGTCAGTTGATATAAAAAAAATCATTGTTACTTGTAATAAAATAAAGCACCTATTGAACACAGCGGTTTTCTTGTAAATATAATTATGAGGTAAGTTTGTGTTATTTTTTCTATCGTGAAAATTTTTGGATTCTACTATATATTTTTTCCAAAGTGATAGAATTAACACTTTGATTGTTATGTATAATTCCGTTGCTCTGGTACTTAAAGTACAATGAATTTCCTAGCTTGAGACTAATTATCCAGTCTTTCGTTGTCGGGACACTTAATTATTGTTGTGATTATTATTAATATCTAGATCGAACACTAAGAAAAATACCTTCTATTCGGCTGGATTCGAACAAGCTGAGCTACGGAATGAATCAGCAGACCTTTAGAATTTTTATGTGCTTGTTGCAGACCTTTGTTTTTTGGGTTTTAACCTTTTCACTGCCATTGACAAAAACTAGTTTTGTTCCTGACGCCAAACCTAGTGAAGACCTGTTATAAATTTCCACCTTATATTCATTAAATTCTCCAGAGTTCAAGAAGAACATATTATCTGATCATAAAATTAGTGCCTCCAGTGAAAAAGGGAATAACTGATATTCGACACTTTTCAGGAGAGGCAAAAAACCATACTTTTATTAATTATTGGTTGTTCGTCATTTATTATTAGTACTTTTTATGATTTCTAGCTTTAGGTATACATCTAAGCTTTAAATGCCTCCGTGGCCGAACGGTTACCACGCCGGACTGCCACGCAGAGGTCCCAGGTTCGATTCCCGGGCCGGGAGAAATATTTATATGGCCTACGTGTATTTCTCTCGTGAGTTTGGGTGTAATTGTGGTTTTCTATGTGTGTCCATGGCACCCGCGACACAGGGTTTTCCCTAGTGCGGGGCTATGTTGAGTGTGTGCGTTATTATTATAAGCTGTCGTTTGATGGGTATTGGTAAAAAAATTCAGTCATATTTTCTATAGTTTTTTAAGTTTTTTTCGAATTCTGTCCTTGTTTATGAGCGCTTAACGGTAATAACACGACTTATATTAACAAACTTTAAGACATAAAACGACATATTCCTTTTTAACTGCCACTGTACTATGGTTATAACAAACTCAGGATACTTAACCACATTGATAAAAGGTATAAAATCGGTAAAGGAATAAAACGACAAGTTTTCGTTTGCGATCTGCGATGCGATTAGCCAATAGCAACACGGTATAGTCGCGGGTATGACCAATCGCGTCCAGTGGAACAAACGGAAAGCTCAGTTGTACCTTTATGGACACTGTGGAATAAGGTGATAGTCGCTTTAAGTCCTGCCTTTTTTCCCCGTTATTGTGGAACAATACGAAAAGATTGTAAAAATATATCTGCAGTTATTAGTTTAAACGTGCATGTGTTTTTTGAGTTGAGAGCACTTGTACCTTTAGACTTCTAAAAAACCCGATAACTAAAATTATGCCTTTAGTAACAGTAGTTATGCCCTTAACGCAATAAAAAAAACGACGTTAGGAGACTACTAGAGAGGCAACCTATTGATATGCTATGTAATCGGACGCGCTGAAGCAAATGGTGCAATAAAAACAAAAGGGCAATCGTCTTATTCCGTTTTTCACTGGAGGCACTGAAATGCAACTATGAATCCATACTTAACTAAAATGTACAAATAATACATGAAATATCTTAATATTTGTTTATTAATTTCAATTGAAAGTTAAAGGGTTTCATTGGCGCTTTGAAGCGTCGTTGGCGTATCAGCCAAGTCAATGTAAGTAAAGCGTTCATGGGTTCTGGTGTGCAAAATCGATCTCAGATCCCTCCCACAGGGCACCCGAGAAGGCCACTGTGGGGTTTTAGCCGGCATAACCTCTCCGCATAACGCCCCCGCGGCGTATCCTAGGAGGATTTTCCCACGAAAATAAGTAAATCGTCCACAGCGGTTAAGGATTGACGACTTTTTTACCACTTTTATTGCAGCAACGCCATCTATGAAAGTTTTTCTTCATCATAGATTTGAAAACAATGAATATAATTGAATATCATGATAGTAAAACATCGTGATATTTAATAAACTTAATATTACAATTTTTATTCTTATTTAAGAGATAGGCTCTTGGCAATGGAGCTATCGCCAGCCATCTCTGTATAGCGCTCTTACAATGATTTCCTGATACGGCACGACATTAAGTTTGTGACGGTGCGATCTCTTTCATCGTCATCCCACCTTTTTAACACCCTTTTCTCTGGTTTCTGGCCACTTACTTTTGAAATTTTGAATCGTTCTCTTATTTTTTTCTTCGTTCCGTCGTCACTCGATAGGAAATTCTCGAGGAGAGCAGACGTGCTCTTAATCGTATAACATAACTGCTTATAGATAGCAATAATACGAATACAGGCCCTTTTGGGCAAGTTCGCTAATCAATAATAAACCAATAACTTCTAACCTGTACGGAGTGTTTTTATATTATTGTACCTATTTTTATACCTACCTGTTTTCTATCCTTCCTTTCGTTTTTCCTTTACCTATTCCCTTTTATACTTCTACAATAAATCCATGTAGACCGAGTGTACTTTCTATCATTATTACGTACTTAAACCCCTCACACAAGGTCAAGGTCACAAGTTTTTCCATTATTTGATCTAAATTACTTTGTCACGGCCTTTCTTTGCATCGCTTTCTTTCAATCTTACCTTCTAAAATGTTTCTAAAAACTATTATTATTAATAACACAGTAAAAAAAAACTATACTTACACAACTCCTTTCCCAGCACCCAGGTCTCGGGTTTGGAATTAACTTCCACCAGAACTGTGGGCGTGCACACAAGTAACACCATTAAGTCCGCAATACTCAAGTTCACTAAAAATATATTAGTCGAATTCCTCATGTCTTTAGTCTTTAAAATTACTATTGGCACCATCACATTACCTAAAACACCTAAACACATAATCACTATACAGAAAGTCATCGATGTGACTTTTATATAATACGGAATCTCAGCGTATTCGGTAAAATTGTTCGATAGCTCGAATGTATTGTTCGCCGAAATTTCCATTGTCGTATTTTCAATTGCTCTTGTGTTGGTTGCATTTTTGTATAAGTTAAAATTGAGAGGTGTATGTAGACTCGTGTGTGTTAAATTTGATATTGAAATCATGTGTACTTTAGCATCCTCTTTTCATTGTTTATCTTTATTATTGGTACTCCACGACATAGTTGTTTTAATCTGAAACAATGAGAAACATATATTAATATTAAATAATTTTAATAACGCGTAGTTTTATTTTACTTCTAGTAGATCTACTTTAGTTTACAAAAAGTTAAATAAGCAGATTTGTTATAGACTTAAGTTGGCCTGGTAGAAATTTTCTACTGGAAAGACCACGCCCTAAAGCATTGTGCCCAAGAAGTAAACCATTGCACTGGTCAAGTACCTATCTACAACTGTGCTGTCATCAGCTTACCCGAAGGTACCTTGAATTAACATATCGTTAATATTCAGCAGGAAGGTAGTTGCGGACAGTACGGAACCCTGAGGGACTCTATATACATGGCCCGATGTCTCGAAGAATAGCCTTCTAATATATTATCGAGATATTCGAGATTACTGCAAATTTACAAAAGTAGGGTATTTTTTTAAGTTATAACAGAAGTTTAGAGCAGAAAAGCAAACAAAAACCAAAAACCACTCTTAAGGAGCTATTAATAAATTATATCTAAAAATTCCGAACAAGTTACAATAAACAAAACCTCATATATAATTTTAGGGTCACGTTAAAACAGGCGATAACATTATTATTACAATTCACTATCATATCAAAAAGACTCTTTGTTGTCGGGCAGTTATCTAATAATTTAAAAAAGAAAACATCATTGTGTTCACACCTTTATCTTTATGTCTATATGGATAAGGTTGATATTCGCATTACCCTAAATTTGACGGTCATTTATATTATTAGAATAGAACTACAACTGAGTAGAAAAGTGATACTTTTTTTATAATATACATAACGCCATGTATATTGTATGCTGATAGAATCAACACAAGTGAATTTTAGGGACATTGTTCTAGTGGAATGTTATTAAAAGGCACAGACCTCGATTCGTGTCATAAGGTGAAAAATATTATTTTCTTGTATGTTATATGTGTTAACAAAAAATAGAGTAGCGATGGTTCACATCTATATGCATACATATATAGTTTTTCAAATTTTAAACGGATAATGTCTTGCATATATGCAATTTCTTACATATTTTTCAAAACATAATTCCTGTACTTTATGCTGTGCTCAATCCAAATATTAATATTATTAATATTAATTAAAATCTGGCAACTAGGACCCATATAATATATGTATATCTTATTCTTATTTACATATAATATAATATAGAAACTAAACAACTAATTCACAGTAAATAGACAGGCGTGTCGATTACCATCAGGCGTACGAGTGTTTCTCGCGTCACTTAGTATCATGAAAAAAAGTATATAGCATATATAAAGTTAAAGTACAGATTGGCAATGACACCATTTTAAAGTCACCCGTGACCCTGGGACTAGGTCAGAATCCCGAAACATTAAATTTGGGAAAAATAGTTAGATTTCTAAGGTATTTTTGTTCTTGACTGTCCGCCGTTCACGACGATCTTAGTGCCGTTAATCAACTCTAGAGCCCAGTCCACAAGAACAGCTCAACCATGCCGGTCTTATACAAGTGCAACGCCAGCGCCCCTTCACGAATCGTCCTCATGACTGTTGAGATACTCGGCATAGGGGACAAACTAGAAATGAGGGACATCAATCCAATGAAAGGAGAAAATGTTACACCAGAATTCTTGAAGATAAATCATTTGCACACCGTTCCAGTCTTGGTAGACGAAGATCTGATTTTAACCGACAGTCATGTTATTGCGACCTATTTGACCATGAAGTACAAGACACCGAAAAGCGAGGAATTGTACCCAACGGATATCAAGTTAAAACATAAAGTTGATCAGATGTTATATTTGGAAAGTACGTTGATGACACCTAAGATTATAGCAGTTATGAACACATTGAAGAAAGGTGAAGTTGCTCCAACAAATGAACAAGTGTCTGCGTTAAAAGAGACATATGGATTTCTCGATAAATATTTGACAAATTCACCCTTTTTAGCATCAACTACTATGACTTTAGCCGATGTAGCCTGCGTATCGCCGCTTGCTTCCTTAAATTTGTTCGTCAGTTTTGATGAATTCGTTAATTTGTCGAAATGGTTCAAATTATTGGAGAAGGAAGATTGGTTCCAGAAGATTAACGTTCCCGGCGTCAAACTTTTCGGTGAATATTTGAAACAGTTTAAACTGAAAAGAGTTTAGAATACAAGTCCTATTTGTTTTTGTACCTATAACAGGTTTTATTGACACGTCAAAGAAATAAAATTATAAGGTGAAATATTGAAATATATTCCCGATTTGTATCTTTCAATTACATTTTTCTCTGTTATACCAATACCAAAAACCGCCAAAAATTATATGATTTTTATATAAACAAAAGTTATGTTCTATTATTTAGTAGCAGTAGAGGTCCTTGTAAAAAAGTTCATCCAGGAAAGTTCTGCCACTTACCTATTGTATATATTGTATATATCTGCTGCCAAGCAGTAATATAAGCAATACTGCACTTCAGTTTTGAAGGATAATGGGTGCTGGTGACACAGGTACAGGTCTTGTCAACTTCATGTCTCAGGTTCACAAGAGCCGTGGCAGTGCCTTCGATTTTTGCGATTTGAAGTTTAGAATGGTGGGCTTACCATCGTGCCCACAACTTGTTCGTGCAGTCACTTGTTATAATAAAAAAAGTCAAATGATAAATTATTGCTCATTATTTCTCAGATTTTCTATTCTATTTACTTCGTGTTTGAGTCAATATTCCCTCTTTTCGCCTCTTATACTCCCCTCCGTATATCAACTTCCAAGTAAGACTCTTGTGATATTTTTTGGCGCCTGGAGAAGTTTCCGTTACAACCTCCTATTCATGCCTGACACATGATTACTTTATAACATATCATTTTGGTAACTTTTTGATTTGTTTATGAAATAATGTACAAACTTATTCAAAATAATACTGCTGCTTGTTTTATTTTCCCAAAATTAAGGAACAATAAATAATTATAACGATAATACATTATCGTACGTGTTTTGTAGAAAGGACGAAAGCGCCATTTCGAAAAATGTTTCAGGGGAGCATATTTTAGTTATTCACGACTATTTTAAAATATTTACGTCCCGTTTTGAAATTAAATTTTGATTTTAATTAACTTTAAAGTTTAAATTTTAAAACAAAAACCATGCGCCCTTTTTTAAAAATGTTTGGCGATTTCGCCCTTTTTACAAAACACCGATGATATGATTATGCCCCGTCCCACGGTTAAGCATTAAGGTATTCCTAGTAGCAAATTTACCTACAAAGTTCTCTTCAAAGTATTGTCACTACTAGAGCTGAGAATGATTGGTCATTTTTCGTCCGCATACAGACTGTGGCAAAAATTGAATCAGGGTCAAATTTTTTGCACTTATTTCAAATTAATAATAGTTAATAAAGCTTTTATCAGTAATAGACTACGTTGATGATATAGATCACATAAAGAAGACCCAAATATGGTGAGTAACAGTAGTACCAAATAAAGTGTCACCTAAAATAGTCCCAATTAATTTGTTGATCCATTTCCGAAGGGTGCAAACGGGAGAACTGTACAGTTATTGTTTACGACGCCATTCGGATCGCAGTGAGCTGCTTATAGCCAATAAAAACTAACGACTTCATACTTAATTTTGTCTTAATACCTACAGCTAGTTGCAAACTTATGTACAAAAGATTATTAAACGTATTCGACCGCACAGAAAAGTTGTTTATGCATTAGATTTCGTAAAACTGCTCCTAGTAGGAGTAGAGCTCCTTGTTAAAGAGTTCGTCCAAGAAAGTACTACCACCTTGCTTATTTCGGCCGCCAAGCCTTCTGATTTTGAAGGGAAAGGGTGCTGGTGAAATTGCAGGCGCCTGGGACTTGTCAACATACGTCTCTGAGTGACAGGCGCAGCGGCAGTGCCCCTTAGATGCAACTGTTATTGATAGGCTTGTAGCTTACCATCAGGCGTACGAAATGTGCGTCCAGTCATTTGATATTATAAAAAAAATATTGCTACAAAGTTTCTAGACAATGGTAATGGAAATGGTTGCCCATTTGGTTCAATCAATAAATTGGCTCTTTTGTCTGTATAACTGAAGAAGGGTCAGGTTGATATATTCGAAGTAAGCTAGACGCGATTATGATATTATGTTCTGTACAGGTACTTGGCCTCGGAACGAAAAAATGCCCAATTAACACTTATCACCGAATTATTTTTGGAGTTGCTGTATGTGGCTTTAAGGTGGCAGGACTTCCCTGGACGAAATCTTTCACAAGGAGCTACTACTGTCACAGAAATGGGTGCAATTCGCAACTATAGCCCAAGCCTTCCCATTGTGAGAAGTCTGTGCCCAGCCGTGGGACTATGTATAGGCTAACTATTTTTGAACCACTGGAGACCTCCCTATTAATTTATCATTTACCATTTGCTGCCGTTAGATGGCGCCGACAGTTACCGATACGTCTCAAACAGTACTTTGGATAAAACAAATAGTCGTATCGCAAATAACATTTCTTTCTTTTGAGGACAGAATAGTGATAATAAATTGAATATTAATATATTAGACAACTTTACATATGTCGCTCTGATCCTGCAATAAGTAACTAAATCAGTTGCATTATGGAAACAACGATGTTACCACAAACACCTAAACCGAGATAATATAGAAAAGCTAATTTTCTGCATTGAACCGATCGGGGAACGAACCCGGGATCTCATAAATGGTGACACCAACAAAACCGATATGCCAAGCGGTACAAGCCCGACTTGTACAACCCGATTGCGGAGATCATCAAGTAATATATCAAAGATATACCCACTGTAATAGTACTACAATCTACGTAATCTAAAAATACGGAAGTTATATCGAGGTGGATGGCGAAGCTTGATTGCGTACAGAGAGTATCTTGTAGGGGTCGTAATTAGAATGAGACTTAGTAATGACTGACTGTACAAATAATTTGTACCCTAGGTATATTAAACCACATGTGATATAGGTCAAAAGTGTTTTTATCACATGACAATCGTAAAATAATACTAACTACATGAAACAAGAATATGCTTATGTGAAACTTTATGACCTACTAAGTATAAAAAGTTATCAACTAATTTCGTTAATAGATACTTTAAACCTCTTGTTACTTAAATGAATTTTAGCTCCTATTTATTTATACGAAACTATCTCGTTTTTACACAACATTCAATGCCACCGAGAACAATAAATACAGTAGAAGTGGTCTGACGCGTGCCAACTATAGGCCTCGAAAGACCTATTTGAGTTCAGTTCGCCATTTTGGCTTTGTACGGTATGGTTGTGTCATTCTTTCGTGCAAATTCTCTAAAATCCTAGAAAAATGCTTTATTGTGCTGCCTTGTGTGCAAAAATGATAGCTGCGCCAAAAATATAACCCGTGATGGACATAAATTTGTTTGTTTTGTTAAAAGTTTATTTGTCTGTTTATCGAAATATTTGTTTTGTTCCAAGAAACGAAAGTAAAGCTTATACCCATGTAATATGGGTGCTTCTTTTTTGGAGAACTAAATTAAGAACTCCAATTCATGGTCGTTCAGCAATTAACCATTAGATGGCAGCACATTGATTGAAATTTCAATATAATATCAAAACGTCGTAATTTGCAATTACAGGTATTGATGGTATTGAACTTTCAACGATATTCCAACAAGGTAAAGTTTAAATTATATTAAAAATCCAGAATTTGTTATTTCTTTTTAAATTTGAAACGACGAACAATCAGTATCAAGATTTTGTAGTGTTTCAAATTAAAAAAATCGAGTTTTGGCGACAACGATTCTGATAGTAATATTGTTTTTTATCTCCCGTGAACGCAACTATACTATTAAAAAAAATCAAAAAATCATTTATTCAGACAACTACAGTCCATATTTTACAGTTATAATATTAGCTTAGATAATTCAATAGGTTTACACACATTAAAATAAACAAAAGGCAACTTAAAAACATAGAATAATAAAACAAATTAAATTAAATATCAAATAAATCATCGACATGGTTTTAAATGCAGTTTCATGCAATGTAGCATGATCGGGCAATCCACTCTACCAGCCACAACGCGCAGAATCTCATTCGTGCCGCAATTTAATTATTATTATTTATTATTAAGTAAATTCATGAGCGACAACACTAATATTTCATTAATTAAAATGAAGTTCAAATGTTAACATATATTTTATAACGCTATCCTTATACTTTGCAAGGGAATAAAATAAATATGGTGATCAGGGAGAACGTCATTGGGTAAGAACAACCTTTTAATGGAACTTATCAATTTATATCCCAATTTAGATCTTTGCGATTTAAGACTCTGAGTGGCACTGCAACTGTTATAACAGGCGTGTCACTTACGCTTAGTGGTAAGTGATACGCCTGTTTATAACGACTTTAACCAGACCCTCCTATTTAAGTTATCGACAAATTTCGTTTATAGAATATTTAAATCTCTACAGAAATATTTCTTTGCTGGTGGTTATCAGGTTCAGCATACAGTCTACCCGTATACAAATGCCTCCCTCTCAAACCTTCAGAATATAGCAAGTGTGAAACAAAACGTTTTGCACCCTCTCAATTCGCAGTGAATGCGAACCGGAATGCGGGCGCTCAATAAGATTACTGTAGTAATCCAAGAGGCGCGTACTAAAGCAATATTTTTGTCTGCGAAATCTCTGTACCCTTTTTGCTATTTCTTAATACACTCCAGCGTGCCGAAGGCTTTTTAATGTAAGTTTACGATCCAAATAGATGCTTTGATCGCGAACATTGTCGTCTTTATCCAAAGGTATTTCAAACGACCAGTAACTTTAAATTTAAGTGCATCTGTTATCGGCACACCTTTTAGAGTGTCGTTACTGTATTACGATCAGCAGTTACTTTACCAAATTTTTAGTCATTCACACGTAGAAAAGGTTTGAATTTACAAGCATTTGTGGATATTATCAAAATATTAAACAATAGTGGTCCCAGATTAGAACCTCGTGGAACTCCTAATGTTACAATTCGTACGAAGAAGCGCTATTCGGTGACTAAAACAAAAATAAATGTATCATACATCAATCATCTGTTTGTTGATGTCAGTGCCTTACGAGCTTACTGTGTATCCAACAATTATTGAAATATAATTCTACAAAAAATTGGGTAGATATACTTTTTTCTGATCCCGAATATATATAACACAATAAAAAAATGGTACTTGCTTAAGTACTTAATATTATTGTTGAGACTTCTATTAATAATGTTCTATTTAGTTTATGCAAGATGATACGGTACATGGCGTTGAACCGTTTTCGTGCGGTTTACTAAAACACGCATTTATT